CCTCCACCACCACCTCCTCCTCCTCTTCTTCTTCTCCTCGTTCTCCTTGTTCTCCTCCTCCTCCTTCTTCTTTTCCTTGTTCTCCTCCTCCTTCTTCCTCCTCCTTCTTCTTCCTCCTCCCTCTTCTTCTTCTTCTTCTTCTTCTTCTTCTTCTTCTTCTTCTTCTTCTTCTTCTTCTTCTTCTTCTTCTCCTCCTCCTCCTCTCCTCCTCCTCCTCCTCCTTCTTCTCCTTGTTCTCCTCCTCCTTCTTCTTCCTCCTCCCTCTTCTTCTTCTCCTCCTCCTCCTCCTCCTCCTCCTTCTTCTTCTCACCAGTCCTGACTGGGGCTCCTCACGCTCAGAACCTCTTCAGATGCCAATAAAGGCGAACGGGTGTAGCTCAGGGTTGAGAGGAGGGGTCCTTGGTGCTGTCCAAGCTGGCTTGTTTTCCGATCTCAGCTGGGTCATCAGGGCTGGTCAGGAGGGCTGTTGTCTGTCCTTAGGGCCATGAAACGTCTGCAAGGAAGCCAGCCAGCGCAGGGAGCCCCCCCCCCGCTTCCCCGGATGGTTTGCCAGGAGGGCTGATGGTGGGATTCTCGCTTTGTCTCCCCAGGACCCCAGTGGACAAGGCTGCCTCCCTCCTCCCATGGCCCCCCTCAACGCCAGCAGCTTTGACCCCATCACCTTTGTCCTGACGGGAATCCCAGGCATGGAGGCCTCCCACATCTGGATCTCGGTGCCCTTCTGCCTGATGTACGTGGGGGCCCTGGCGGGGAACGCCTTCCTCCTCTTTCTCATCGCCACGGAGCGCAGCCTCCACCAGCCTATGCACCTCTTCCTGGCCATGCTGGCCGTAGCTGACCTCATGCTCTCCACCTCCACTGTGCCGGAGATGCTGGCCATCTTCTGGTTCGGCTCCAGGAAGATCTCCTTTGACGCCTGCATCGCCCAGATGTTCTTCACCCACTTCAGCTTCATCGCCGAGTCCACCATCCTGCTGGCCATGGCCTTCGACCGTTACGTCGCCGTTTGCGATCCGTTGCGCTACATGACCATCCTCACGCCTTCCGCAATAGGGAAGGTGGCCATCGCCGCCGTGGTCAGGGGGCTGGCCATCATGTTCCCCCCCATCTTCCTCCTGAAGAGGCTGCCCTACTGTGGCCACAGCACGATGCCCCACACCTATTGCGAGCACATGGGCATCGCCCGCCTGGCTTGCGGGGACATCACCGCCAACATCTGGTACGGCTTCACAACCACCCTCCTGTCCTCTGGCGTCGACGTGGTGCTGATCGCCGCCTCTTACGCCCTGATCCTCCGGGCCGTCTTCCAGCTGTCCTGCAAGGAAGCCCGGCGGAAAGCTCTCCGCACCTGCGGCTCCCACATCTCCGTCATCCTCATGTTCTACATGCCGGCCTTCTTCTCCTTCCTCACCCATCGCTTCGGCCACAACATCCCTAGCTGGATCCATATCCTGCTGGCCGACCTCTACGTGATCGTGCCGCCCATGCTCAACCCCATTGTCTACGGAGTCCGAACGAAGCCAATCCGGGAGAGGGCCGTCCACGTCCTCTCGCATTTGGGAAGGACCTGCCGCTAAGCCCCGAAGAAACTCCGTCGCGGCACTTGGGCTGGAGGCCGCTGCAGGGCGAGAGCCGCCTCCCTCTTAGGGGAAGGAGAGGAAGCACGAATTCTTGGGTCCCTTGTCCCCCCCCCTGGGGGAATCGCCTCCTTCCTTGGTCTGTTAAAGAAACTGCCCCCTCCCTGCCTGTCCCTCCCACGTGTGCCCTGCTTCTTGCCCAGAGTCAGGAGGAGGACTGTGGGCAGCGGCTGGGCTGGGCAACAGAGCGGTCAGTCGGCCTTCTCTTGTGCCGCATGGGGGCTCTCTGGATCGCTCCTCAGGGGTCAGAGAGACCCAGAGGGCTGGACAAGGGGGGCCCCCGCTCACTCCAGGGCTCTTCTGGACGACTCGGCCACCGCTGGTGCTTCCTGGGCTGCCAGGGGGTGAGGGGAGGGGGGTCCCCGCCTATTCGTGGCCCCCTGGGGAGAAAGCAGCCCCCAAAGAAGATTCCTTCCAACCCACAGAAGGATATTAAACTCCCCTACACCCCACCCCCTTCTCCTCTGCCCCCCGCTCAGCCTGGGTGTTGGAGAGGATGCTGGGCAAACAGGAGTGGCCCTGTGGGAGGGGTCCTTTCGCTCGGACCCTGGTCCCAGGCGTGACCCGACAAATGCGCGAACGACAAAACCGCGGTGCTAAAACCGTGGCGCTAAAACCGCGATGTCAAAAGCATGCCGACAACAGCGCGCCGACAAAAGCGCGATTTAAGTTAAGGTAAGGTTTAGGGTTAGGGTTACAGCGCGCTTCTGTTGGCGCGCTGTTGTCAGCGCGCTTCAGCGCTCATTCGTCGGCGCGTTTTTGTCACCGTGGTTTTGTCACTGCGGTTTAGTCAGGCGCGCTTTTGTCGTTCGCGCATTTGTGGTGGAACCGGTCCCAGGCTCAGGGGTTACAAGGGAGGGGAAGGATTTTGCACGCTCTTCACATGAGCCATGGGTGGAGTGGGAACTGGCCTGGAGAACCATGGCGGAGGGAGGGCTGGGCTGGGAGCCCCCGGAGGCCAAGGCTGCTCTGGCTGACCCAGGCCCAAAGCGGGGGGCGGGGGGAAGGAAGCCTCTTAGCACCCCGGACGTCCCCCTTCATCCCACGCTGGGCCCCAGATGGGCCAGGCTGCCCTGGGACTTCCAGTGGCTGCAGCGCAGAGGCCCAGCAGGCTTCCCACCCGTTCCACGGGGTTAATGGGGAGGGGGGTACATATTGTTGGCCCCCTGGAAAAGTCTGAATCTCAGGCAGAGTCTTGGACAAGGACAAAATAGCCCCATTCAGGAAGCCCATTTGGAAGATTGAAATGCCAGCTCTGGGTTCCCTTTTTCGGGACAGGCTGGGGAAGGGGCAGGGGGAGGGGGCTGAGAAAGCTGGACTCTCTCCTGGGGAGGGGCTGCCCAAGGTCACAGAGAAAAGCGAGTGAGGGACTTACTCCCCGGGGTCCCTGAGGCCCAGAGTGGGATTTCAGGAGGATTTTCCTGACATTGAGAGCAATCAATCACGCTTCCCTCCCGGGGCTGTGGGGGCTTCCACCTGGCAAATCTTCACAAATGGGCTGGGCAGCCATTGGACTGGGAGGGTGTAAGGCCCCTGATTGGCAACGTTTGGCCCAGATTGCCCAGCCGGGCACTGCCAGGCCTGCCACAAAGGCCTCTGGCTGGAGTGGAGCCCACCGCAGAGACACGAAAGCGAGGAAGCCCCCGGGTGGCTGTTGGGTGAATTGAAATCCCCTTTGCCAGGGGGCTTCCAGGCAGCAGCAACCCCCCAGGGCCAGGAGAGGAGGAGAGCCGGGCTCAGCCGCCAGCAGAAAATAACTTTTAGCCCAGGAGACGAGATCTTCCTGGCTCAGCCTGGCCAGAGGTCCTGCCCACCACAGATATGGGGGAGGACTCCAACACGTCCAGATCAATCCATCAGAATACATCTGGAAGGGACCCTGGAGGTCTTCTAGCCCAGCCCCCTGCTCCAATTGGAGACCCTATTCAATTTGAGAGCAATGGCTGTCCAGCCTCTTCTGAAAAGCCCCCAGTGTTGGAGCAGCCACCACCTCCGGTGGTCAGTAGTTCCACCGGTTAATTGGCCTCACTGTCAGGAAAGTTCAGATCCAGGTTGCTCCTCTCTTGATTAGTTTCCACCCATTGCTCCCCCTGCCCTCAGGGGCTTTGGAGAATCAATGGAAGCCCCTCAAGTACTGGAAGGCTGCCATCCTGTCCACCCTGGTCCTCCTTTTCCCCAGGGTGGCCAGGCCCAAATCCCGCAACCCTTCTTCCTACGCTTTGGTCCCCAGGCCTTTAATCCTCCTCCTTGCTGCTCTCTACACTTCCCCCCAAAGGCTCAACGTCTTCTGTGTGTCGTGGAGGCCAAATTCCAGGCGAGGCCTTCCTGGGGCTTTACCAAGCTCAGAAGGCCCCATGCTGGAGACAGCTGCGCCATCCGTTGCCATCCCAACTTCAGCAAGGGGCTCTTGCTTGAGGACATTGTTAATTGGGTGTGTGTGTGTGTACTGTGGGGCTCTTCAGTGATGGGAGGGGGGGGGGCTGGACTGCTGACGGTGGAAGGGAAACTTCCGTAGCCGTGGACAGTGTTGAGCTTGTGACCATTCCACTCAATGTCCTGCCCAGTCAGTGTGTCAGTTGTGGGAAGAAGCTGCAGGACGTGCAGCTGTTGTGTTGTCTTCTGGGGCCAGCAACTGTGCGCTGGGATGCTGCCACCCGTGGCTTGCGTAGGTTGGCCCCGGGAGAGGTCCCTGCCCACAGAACTCCCCCCTGGACAGCCTAGGCGGCCAGTCAGAGGTCCAGCCAGTGGCCTCCACAATGACATCACAGAGAACGGATTCCGCATCAGAAGGTTGGCGTGGTGCTTCTGTGGGCGGGTGGGAGGCGCAGCTAGAAGAGGAGACCCATAGCTTGCATGTGGGCAGAGTGAGGAAGCCGGGCAGGGGCTCTTTTTTGGGCCGGGATGAGCAGCGCGCTCTGACTCTGACCGGCCACAGCCGAGGGAGATCTCTTGTTCCTGCTTGCTACCTGCTTGGCCCTCATTCTTTTCCCAGAAGAGAGGAGGGAAACTTTGGGGCATTATGGTTGAAAGCCAGATAATCCCAGGAGTTGACTTCAGAGCCACCAAAGAGCCACAAGTTGTCCGGGTAATTGTGAAGACGCCCTGGCAGAAGGAAGAGTTCTTGGTCCACAAGGACATGCTGGTGAGGGAATTCAAGGAGCACGTGGCCAGGCACTTGTCCTCTTCTCCTTCCCAAATCGTGCTGGTCTACGTCGGAAGGATCCTGAAAGACCACAAGTCCCTCGCCCAGCACGGGATCCACCTGGACAGCAACGCGGCCGTCTATGTCGTCGTCCGATCCCAGCAGGCCTGCCCACCCCACCAGGGGCCCACCCTCCCAACTGACCTGGGCCCAGAGCCCAAGGCCCCCAGGGGCGGCACTTTCGCCAGTGATGGCTTGCGGGAGCTGACGGCCAGCCTGGGCCTGAACACGGCCAATTTCACGGAGTTCCAGAACCAGCTGATGTCCAACCCTGAGCTGATGCTGCGGCTCCTGGAGAACCCCTTCATCCAGAGCAAACTCTCCAGCCCCGACCTGATGAAGAAGCTGGCCACCAAGAGCCCCCAGGTACGGCAGGTGATCCGGAGGGCCCCCGAGATCAGCCACGTCTTCAGCTCCCCGGAGGGCATGAGGTGGCTGTTGGAGCTGGCCAGGAACCCGGCTGCCGTGCGGGAGATCATCAAATCCCCACCCCAGGCTCAGCCTTGTCCCGGCAGCGTCCCCAGTGGGGACGGCAACACGGCCTTGCAGGAGGTGCTGACCAAGGTGCAGGGCCTGGTGCAGAAGGTGCTCCCTAAGAGATCGGCGCCCACCGTCTGCTCAGGAGCCCCGGGAGGCCACCAGCCCTCCTTTGACCAGAGCGAGAAGTCTGGGTGGGCCAGGCAGCATCTGCCTTCCCCCAAAATGTGGCCCCTGAGGCCTAGTGGCCAGAACGCCGGCACGGCGGCTGGCAATGACCACAGCAGAGGGGAGAGTGGCAACTTGCGAGGGGAGACGGGCCAGCTGGCCTCGGCAGCGGTGAAGACCTTGTTCCACCAGATCATCAAGCACCTCGTGCAGAGCATGGCGAGCAGCCCCTCCAGACACCCCACCGGTCAGGGCCTCGGCTCAGACGGGGTGGGCAAAGCTGCCCAGAGGTACGTGGCCGGATCCAGAAGCTCCCGGGAGCAGATTCTGGCGCTCTTGCAGCAGATTCAGAACACAGATGTCCTCCTGGCAAGCTGGAGCCCCAAAGAGATCCGGGGGCTGATGGAGATTCAGCAGAGGCTGCAGGCCTTGGCGACCGACGAACCGGCGGCAGAGAGAGGCGGCCGATCAGAGCGCCCCGCCCGGAGATCGTATTCCATCACTTCTCTCTGCAACATTGTGCCCCCCTCCGGCCCAGGGGACGAGGAGGACTTCTCTGCTCCCGAGATCTGGCAGAGCCTGGCGGCGGATGACTTCTTCTGCAGCCCCCCACTCAGCGTCCGCCTGCGGGGCTGCTCGGCACAACCACCCCCTTCGAAGCAGCAGACGTACAAGCTGTGAAGTGCCGGGGCTGAGCCCTTGGCGGAGCGGACGGGGCCCTTCGGGGGAGGCTAGAGCTTCATAAAGGAATGGATTTCATGGTTTCTGATTAAAAGCTTTAAATCTTTCACCCCGTCTCCTGTCGCCTGTGTTGCCTCCAGCCCTTCAGGTGGGACTCGCTTCCTGGCACTTCCAGGGGTCAAAACCTCCAACGACATTCAGGGGGGTTTGGCCCTCCTCTCTAAGAGGAGAAATCAGGGGCTGGGCTGGCAACCTTCCATGGGGGGCTGGCAACCACCTCACCCTCTTCCCTGCTCCCCCGTCTCTTGCAATGAGCCAGGATCCCCGGGGGTGTCTTCCAAGAGGCACCTGGACTTCCCGGATTGTTTCCCTTCGAAATGTTTCGCTTCTCATCCAAGAAGTTTCTTCGGTTCTGAAGACGCTTCTTGGTTGAGAAGCGAAACGTTTCAAGGAAAAGAAAAAATAAAAAGCCCCCAAGACATTCCAGTTGCCTTTTGGAAAAGGCCCCTCGGGAGAACCGTGACCTGCATGACCGAGAATCTCCATAGACCCCGCCGTGGTCTGCACTGGTGGCCACTGGTTGGATGATGTCCCCTGTCCAAAGGCCAAGTGCTGGGGAACAGCCTTGACATGGGGGCCACAGGGGATGTGCGGGATAAGAGCTGCAGCCGACCCACAGGAGACCATCGTGACGGTAGACATCCCAGTCCTGCCGAGGGCTCCATGGCCATTTGGCCCAGGGGTTGCTTGGCTCCACTCACTCCTAGTTGGGAGACCCCTTAGGAGGAGGAGGAGGAGGAGGAGGAGGAGGAGGAAGAGCAAGAGGGCAGCATTTCCTTGAGGCTGGCAACAGCATCTTGCAGGCCCCAGGTGGTTCCAGCTGGTCCACCGTGTGCTCCACACGCTCGAACACCGAGTTGCAGAAGGAAGAATCCATCAATCCATGTAAAACCCTACAGTGGCAGGAATGGATGAATGGCAGTGCCAACCGAGGAGTGGGGGGGGGGGTTCCTTTGCCGCTTCTGTCTCTCCTGTTTGACTGCGGAGGGATGAAACGGAAGGATTTGCCAAAGGCCCCGGGGACCCCTGGGGTGCGCCACGTCCCCCTGCTCCTCACAGCTGAGTGAGTCTATCCGAGGGAGCCCTTTCCACATTTGGAGATCAAAATGCCCGCCTCGTCCTGTTAGCTCGCTGGACGCAGCAGTCTTGAGGTTGTGTAAAGCTGGTAGCTCACATAATAACACACCAGGTTTAAGATTCAGCATGTCGTGAAGGAGTCATAACATGGCTGACTTATTTGGGCTTCGCAAAGTACTGTGTGTATCAAAGGGCAGTTAAACACCATTTGTTTATTGAGCCATCCCTCCCTCCCTCCAATTTCTATAGCTGTCCCACTCAACCAAGTGATGCTGGCAGGCTATAGAACAATGTTTCTCAACCTTGGCCACTTGAAGATGTCCGGACTTCAACTCCCAGAATTCCCCAGCCAGCATTCGCTGGCTGGGGAATTCTGGGAGTTG